ATGCTGATGAATATGGGAACCTCCAGTGCGTCCCCTCAGGAGCTGCTGGTCAGAATTCTCTGGAACATTGCTGTGGAGTTATCAGTGCTGCCCCCTAAAAAAGCTCCCCCTCTTCTCCCTCTAGCACTTAGTAAGACTGCTCTATCTCCTCTGATGTTAGGTATAACTGTGTGAATTGCTTTGGCCAGTGCAATGTTACCAGAAGAGACCTGTATCACTCCCAGATAGGACCTTTAAGAGTCTGTGCATGGTTTGTCACATTCGCTCTCCCCTGCCTCAGTGAACTTGGAAACCTGGATCTAGATGGATCACCTATTAGCTTGGTTCTTGAGTGACCACTATGAACAGAGACCCCTGCCGACCCACACTGGATGTGTAGTGTGAGTGAGAAAAATGCTTTCTTTGGGCTAAGCCACTGAGATGTTGTTTATTATCATAGAACCCAACCTAGCCTTTCTGAAACAATTCCCCTGGGGAAAAAATGAAGGATGTTTTTCATCAACCCAGCTATGTTTGCTGAGCCGACAGCTAGTCAGCAGGAAGGGCACATCCCAAAGTAGTCAGCTTCTTTTCATTTATTGTCTGTATCCCCCAGGCCCTTGACATCTGACAAGCAATTTCTTAGCAAATTGATTCTATTGGTTTTTCCTAAGTTTTGTATCCTCCCAGAGGGAGAATTATTTTGTTTGGCAGATGGTTAAAGTTAGTCCTAGTTGGTATCTGGCCAGCTAATCCTGCCTACAGGACTGGGAGCATGTCCACTTAGGGCAAAGAGGAGGCATGGCCGGGCCAGATCCTTCTGCCCTGCCTGTGCCACTTGGGGTCACCATGAGAATGATATCACCGAGGAAGGCTGGGGCTTTTGGTGTTCCAAATACCTACAGCATCTGGTTTGGGGTGTCCATGTAATATGTCAGGAGGCAGAATGACAAAGAAAGGAAGAGCCTGGGCTCTGTGGTCAGGTTCAAATTTAAATCCAGCCTCCACATCTTCCTGGCTCTGGGACTTTAGGCAAAGTCACCTCTCTGAGCCTCAGTTTTCTCAGCTGAGAAATGCAGGTTCAGTAGTGCTCATTTCATTGGGCTGTTGTTAGACTGTGGATATAAAATGTGTAGCCTAGCACCCAGTCCTTGGAAGGTGGTGATCATGATGGTACCAAAGCTGATGACCTGGATTCTAATCTTGTCTCCTATGGACATTGGCTGAGTCAGTGATTTGTAAGAGCCCTTGTATTTCTAATGCCTATCATGTCTTGCCTGTGATTTCAAAACTGAGAAAGTATAAATTTTCTAAATAAGGGTCACTGAAGACATTTAAAAAAAAATCAGAGTATGGACGCCTGGGTGGCTCAGTTGTTGGGCGTCTGCCTTCGGCTCAGGTCATGATCCCAGGGTCCTGGGATCGAGCCTCGAATCAGTTTCCCTGCTCGGCGGGAAGCCTGCTTCTCCCTCTCCCACTCCCTCTGCTTGTGTTCCCTCTCTCGCTGTGTCTCTCTGTCAAATAAAATCTTAAAAAAAAAAATCAGACTCTTTAAAAAATTAATATCCAGGTAATTCATATTTTCTCTATAGAACAAATAGGAAAGCTAAACTCTGCTACCAACTTGGCCTTAGGCAGGCTCCTACTCTCTGGCCTGTTTCCTCATCTGTATAATAAGGAGATTGGGCTAGAAGCCGTTTTGGGCCCTGTTGGCTTTGACTGGTTGCGGTCTGCTTATAATGACACATAGGGGCCTTTGCCTCTCCCTGACCCTCATCTACTTTATCTTCAACTCCAGGTCTTAGGTTCTGATATCTGGTATTTACTTTATGTTTTTAGTACTGCTCAATTTCTTGATATATCAAATTTTTAAGAGATTTTATTTATTTATTTGAGAGAGAGCGAGAGAGAGGGCATGAGCAGGTGGAGGAGCAGAGGGAGAGGGAGATAATCTCGAGCAGACTCCATGCTGAGTGCCGAGCCCAATGCAGGCTCAATCCCAGGACCCTGAGATCATGCATGACCTGAGCCAAAACCAAGAGCCAGACACTTAAACCAACTGAGCCACCCAGGCACCCCATTGATATATCATTTTTTTTAAAGATTTTATTTTGAAGTAATTTTGTTTTAAAGATTTTATTTTTATGGGGCGCCTGGGTGGCTCAGATGGTTAAGTGTCTGCCTTTGGCTCAGGTCATGATCTCAGGGTCCTGGGATCGAGTCCCACATCGGGCTCCCTGCTCAGTGGGGAGTCTCCTGCTTCCTCTCCCTCTGCCCCTCCCCCTGCTCATGCTCTTTGTATCTCTGTTTCAAATGAATAAATAAAATCTTTTTATGTTATGTTAATCAATTAAATCTTTTAAAAAAAGATTTTATTTTTAGATAATCTCTATATCCAACATGGACCTTGAACTCAACCCCAAGATCGAGTCAAATGCTCCAATGACTGAACCAGCAGGTGCCACCCCTCCTTTATTTTTTTTAAGATTTTATATTTTGAAGTAATTTTTTTTTTTAAAGATTTTATTTATCTATTTGACAGAGAGAGACACAGTGAGAGAGGGAACACAAGCGGGGGGAGTGGGGGAGGGAGAAGCAGGCTTCCCGCTGAGCAGGGAGCCCGGTGCGGGGCTCGATCCCAGGATCCTGGGATCATGACCTGAGCCGAAGGCAGACGCTTAACAACTGAGCCACCCAGGCACCCCGAAGTAATTTTTTTTATTATTTTTTTTAATTTTTTTAAGATTTTATTTATTTTTTAACAGAGAGCGAGAGAGGGAACACAAGCAGGGAGAGTGGGAGAGGAAGCAGCAGGCTTCCCGCCGAGAAGGAAGCCCGATGTGGGACTTGATCCCAGAACCCTGGGTGGGATCAAGACCTGAGCTGAAGGCAGATGCTTAACAACAGCCACCCAGGTGCCCCTCTTTTGAAGTAATTTTAAATTTAATGAAAAGTTGCAAAGACAGCATAGTAAGTTCCTGAATACCCTCACCCCATTCCTTGTAATATTCACATCTGGATGATCATGGTAACATTTGTCAGAATAACAAAAAAATATTAATATTGATATATAACTCTTAATTGAATGACAGACTGCATTTGGAGTTCATTGCTTTTTCCACTAATGTTCTAGGATTCAGTGTAGGTTACCACATTGCACTGAGTCATCATATCTCCTTAGTCTCCTCTATTCTTGTAGTTTCTCAGTCCTTTATCAATTATAAGCATTTTCTCCAGACTGGTATGAGAGATTGGTGTTTTTGATCAGTTACACACTCCATTTTCCTTTAAATTTATCTTACTTTTTGGTATAATCCGTATTCATTGCTTTTATTTTTTATTTTTTTAAGATTTTTATTTATTCATTTGAGAGAGAAAGAGCGCAAGCAGGGGGAGAGGCAGAGGGAGAGGGAGAAGCTGACTTGCCGCTGAGCCGGGAGCCCAATATGGGCCTCAATCCTAGGACCCTGAGATCATGACCCAAGCTGAAGGCAGATGCTCAACCATCTGAGCCATCCAGGAGCCCCTACTTTTGGTATTTTTTTAAAGATTTATTTATTTATTTGAGAGAGAATGGGGGAGGGGAGGGGCAGAGAGAGTCCCAAGTAGACCATTTGGTTTCTAACATAGTTACCAGCCCCCCTCAGTCACTACATTATTCAGAACTCTTCCAGTTGCATATGACAGAGCCATATCCTAAATGAGCTTTGGCAAAACTTTATCAGCTCAAAGAATGGTCAATAAGCCATGGAAGGGAACATCAGGATCAAGGGCCTGAAGTCTACAATGACTTTCTAGGTATCTTTTTTTTTTTTTAAAGATTTTATTTATTTATTTGACAGAGAGAGACACAGCGAGAGAGGGAACACAAGCAGGGGGAGTGGGAGAGGGAGAAGCAGGCTCCCCGCAGAGCAGGGAGCCCGATGCGGGACTGGAGCCCGATGTGGGACTCAATCCCAGGACCCTGGGATCATGACCTGAGCTGAAGGCAGTCGCTTAACCAACTGAGCCACCCAGGCGCCCCGACTTTCTAGGTATCTTGTCTCTGTCCATCTCTCTCTCTTTCTCACAGACTAACTTTTCCACAAGGATGGAAATATGGTGGCCTATAGCTACTGATTCCCTTATCCACCTACCCCCCACAAGGAGAAAACGGACAGCCAATCTGGTCCCAAGTTTGAAATCCCAGGAAGAGTTCGCATTGGCTCATCTGGAGTCGGTGGCCATTCTTGGACCAATCACCAGTGACCAGTGGTATAGGGCAATTAGAAAACATGGTGGCTCTGAGGGCAGGCCAGGAAAGAAGTAATTCCCAGGAAAAGTGCTAAAAGCAAACACAAAGTTGGAAACCACACAAGAATTTTATAGTAAAGACCTCACATAAATCCCACAAGAACAATACAGCTTTCAAAATCGTCTCTGGAGAAGTATGTTAGAGTCCAATTAAGTGACTACTGACAGATTGTTCCCAATGGTGGTGACTATAGTCTTCACTACAGGTGATTTAGCAACATATGGCCCCTCAATCAGAGGGCTCATCCCTCCTTACAAAAGAGGACATAGTAGAGCTCTATAAATAGTTTACTATCCAAAGGACCTCACCCATTCTCAGGCTTCAATGTGCATCAGAATCAAGTGGGAGTTGGTAAAGCATGTACTTTCCCAGGACTACCCCTCAGATTTTGATTCAATGGTCTAAGGTGGAATCAAGGAGTCTGGATTTCTGTATGGCTCCCAGATGATGCTAATGTAGGTGATCCATGGACCATGGTGAGAAACCATGCACCAGGCCACCTATGTACAAAATAACAAAGATAAAGCACATAGCACATTGCCTGGCACATGGTTTATGTCCAGGAAATAGCCCAAGAGGGGCCACGTTAAGTGGTCCCATACCTGCACAAGGCCTCTGATGCTCACTCAGTCCTCTGCTGTCTTGAGTGTGACATTTAGACTTCCCCTTGCCCTGTCCCCCAGTCTGCCTGGGAGAAGAGAATAAATAAAAGCAGAAACATTTTCATTTTATAAGCACTTGGTTTTATTGCACAGAAGCAATTGAAAGTGGACTCCAGTGGAAAAGTGCGCCCTGGCATGATTCAGTGGCCAGTGCCCAGCCCCACCTGCTTCAGCTCTTCCAGGATAGAGAGCTCTGGGCAAGGGCTCGGCCACTCCTTTGGAAAACAGAAGGCATTCAGGAATAGGTTAAGACATCTCAAGCATAATGTGTTTCTAACTGCTCATTCATTGTTGCGGTCATCTGTCAATTGCACATACAGGTAATAAATGCACTTATTTGGAAAGGAGGGGGTCAGTTTTTATAGTCAAGTGTTTACATGTGGCATTCAGCATATATCACATTCGGCTAGATAAGCTATCATAACATAATTGTCCATTGCCTGGGGAGGGTTTGAGGTGTAGGGCCAGGGACTGGGAATACCCTCTCTTGCTAACATATTGCTAATAGAAATTCCTGTTTGGTGAAGGAGGGCTCCATCATCTAAGCAGAGTTTCTTCTTATATAAAGAAAAGGGAGAAAAAATGAAAATTACCCTTGAGCTCCCTGGCCCTCCTGAGTTTCTTTGGCTGTTCTGGATAGTCCTTTCTCCCTGCCTTACTTCTCTGCCTTGGAAGCCTTGTCTTCTGTGGTCTTCTCTGGAGGTCTGCTGTCTTTCTGGTCTGTGCTAGAGGATTTCTCAGCCTTTTCTGTCTTGGCTTTGCCAGGTGTGGGGGCCTCCTTGCTGGGCTCTTCTTTGGCTTGGGCCTCTGCTTTGGGTTTCTCCTCAGGCTTCTTGGCCTCCTTGACATCTTTTTTCTCAGGTGCTGCCGGTGTCTCTTCCTTCTTTGGTTTTTCTGGCTCCTTCTCTGCTGCTTTGCTGCGTTCTTTGGCCTTGGCATCATCTTGCTCCTTCTTGGCCACCTCAGCCTTCTCTTTGGGTTTGGCCTCTTCCTTCACCTTGGCAGGAGCCTCCTTCTCTGAGGTCACTGCTTTTTTCTTATCTTCAGCCTCCTTCTTGGCTTCAACTTTGGATTCTTTGGGTTTCTCCACAGCAGGTTCCTTCTTTTCCTGGACCTCAGGTTTTGGAGCCTCCTTTGGCAACTCATCTTTCTTGCTGTCCTTCTTCTCCTCAGTTTTTGGTGTGGCTGGAGCTTTCTCTTCCTCTACCTTCTTTGGGGGCTCTTTGACTTTCACTTCCTGGGATTTCTTTTCCTCCTTTATGGGAGACTTGGCCTCTTCCTTCTTTGTGACCTCTTTCTCAGGAGCCTTGGTCTCTTCTTTCACAGGAGATTTGACCTTCTCTGGAGACTTGACCTCCTCCTTGACAGGGCTTTTTGCCTTTTCGGGAGATTTGATGTCTGCAGGGGATCTTACTTCCTCCTTTGCTGGAGTCTTGGCTTCTGGAGACTTCACATCAAGAGTCTTAGCCTTCTCAGGAGACTTAGCCTCTTCCTTCACTGGGGATTTGGCCTTCTCAGGGGACTTGGCCTTCTCTGGGGACTTGGCCTTCTCTGGGGACTTGGCCTCCTCCTTCACTGGGGACTTGGCCTTCTCTGGGGACTTGGCCTCCTCCTTCACCGGGGACTTAGCCTTCTCTGGGGATTTGGCCTCTTCCTTCACTGGGGATTTGGCCTTCTCAGGGGATTTGGCCTTCTCAGGGGACTTGGCCTTCTCTGGGGATTTGGCCTCTTCCTTCACTGGGGACTTGGCCTTCTCAGGGGGCTTGGCCTCTTCCTTCACTGGGGATTTGGCCTTCTCTGGGGACTTGGCCTCCTCCTTCGCTGGGGACTTGGCCTTCTCTGGGGACTTGGCCTCCTCCTTCACTGGGGACTTGGCCTTCTCTGGGGACTTGGCCTCCTCCTTCACTGGGGACTTGGCCTTCTCTGGGGACTTGGCCTCCTCCTTCAATGGGGACTTGGCCTTCTCTGGGGACTTGGCCTTCTCAGGGGACTTGGCCTCTTCCTTCACTGGAGACTTGGCCTTCTCGGGGGACTTGACCTCTTCCTTCACTGGAGACTTGGCCTTTTCGGGGGATTTGGCCTCCACTGGGGACTTTGCTTCTTCCTTAGCTGGGGACTTGGCCTTCTCTGGGGACTTCACCTCAGTCGGAGATTTTGCTTCTTCTTTCACGGGGGATTTAGCTTTCTCAGGGGACTTCACCTCAGCTGGAGATTTGGCCTCTTCCTTCACTGGCGACTTGGCCTCAGTTGGTGATTTTGCTTCTTCTTTCATGGGGGACTTAGCCTTTTCTGGGGACTTGGCCTCTTCCTTCACTGGGGACTTGGCCTCAGCTGGGGACTTAGCTTCTTCCTTCACTGGGGACTTGGCTCCAACTGGTGACTTGGCCTCTTCCTTCTCTGGAGATGCAGCCTCTTCTGCTGGGGGAGACTTCATTTCTTCTTCTCCCCCTTCTGCTTCCTCCTCCTTGCCTTTCTCCTCTTTGGCCTCTTTCTCTTCTTCTTCAGTCACTTCTTCAGTCACTTGGATCTCTTCTGTCTGTTCCTCCAAAATCACGGTTTCCTTCTCTGACTTTTCTACCACCTTGATCTTCTCTTCGCTTTTGACCTTTATGTGTGTGGATATAGAAGGGATTTTGGGAAGTCCTTCTGGAAGGGAGAAAGGACTGGGGCCAAAGCCAATCCGACATTCTTCGCCCTCCAGGAGTTTTCTGCCAAATGGATAATGGAACACATTACTATTATTAACTCAGAGCAGACTGAGGAGTTGGGGGTCTTCCTGAGTTACTCTGAAGATCCATAGAATCCAATAATATGGACTTTGGTGGAGGAAGGAATGTGAATGGTGGGCACTTTGAGCCTGGAAAAAGTCACTTAGCAAATCATCCCAGGGACCACCCAGAATCTGTACCCCAATGGTGTTGCTCTTGTTTTATGCAGCTAAGGCTGCAAGTTATAAAACAACTCCCCCACCCCAAAATGGCCCGCGAGAGAGAACACCTCTATTAACAAAAATTACATTAACTCTCCCTCAACTAAAATGTTCAAGTGGAGGGTAGGAGTCTGAGCAAACAACTCCACATTTATAAATTTGGGATTAAGAGGTCTTAAACTATTCCCATTGGAATTTCAAGCGTCTCTGGTCACTTTATATTCTCATCCTTTGAGTTTTAGGAATAGGGTGGGGGCAGCAGTGTCTACTCTTTCCTACTCAGTAGGTATGTGACCTCAGCCAAGCCACTCAAACTCTTCAAGTCTGTTCCTTCAGTGGGAAAAAGAGGGTCATAAGAGTCCCTACCTCAGAGGGTTGTTTCAGTGAGATAATGAATAAAAAGGACCTGGCAGTGCCCGACTCACAGTAGGTTTAGGGGTTACCCCTAGAGACCAGTGCTTTGCAAATTTAACAGCATGCAAATCCCCCAGGGATCTGGTTAAAATGCAGATTCTGATTCAGTAGATCTGGGGTGGGGCCTGAGAATCTGCCCTTCCAACATGCTTGTGAAGATGCCAATTGTGCGGTTCACGGACCACACTCTGAGCAGCAAGATTATAGACTAGACCCAAGAGGTGGGACATGAAGAGTCACCTGCCAGCAACTGGGACAGATCTTCACTGGGTCAGCCTGCTTCTCAGCAAGAAATTGCTAAGCTGGGAGGTCTCATGGGCTTCTCATGGCTACCATTTACTGCGGGCTTTCTCTATGGCCACCCAGCAGTACCTGGATGTGCTCTGGAACTGGATTAGTTCCTCCTTCCCCACAACCCTGTGATAGAAGTACTGTTATCATCTCCACTTTATTTCCTCAGGAAACAAAAGCTCAGGGAGCCAAAAAACCCAAAGAGAGTTGTCAAGGTCCCTGACAACTCAAGTACCTCCTTTCCCTCCCTCCAGCAGGCCTCTAGCTGGCTGGATTTGGAGGGGTGAGGAACGTTAATCCTCCGAGTCACTGGCAGAATGAAAAGAAGGCACTCTCAAGACTTTCGAGAAATTCAGAAAGTAGAGTGATGTTGCCAGGGCCAGAGGAAAGGAGGAAAGGAGAGTGGGGAGTAATTCTTTAGTGAGCACAGGGTTTCAGTTCGGAAAGATGAAAAAAGTTCTAGAGATAGATGGTGGTGATGGTTGCACAACAACGTAAATGTACTCACTGCCACTGAACGGTATACTTAAAAATGGTTAAATAGCAAATTTTATATCATACATTTTACCACAATAAAAAAAAATTCTTTTTTGTCTCTGAGACAGGCAGGTCGCCTTGCTGGGAACTTGAAACTCAGTGCTAAGCTTCTCATAAGAATGCAAGGGCTCCCCACCATCCCAAAAGCCCCCCGGCCCACCTCACCTGTAAGCGGCAATCTCAATATCCAGAGCCATCTTGACATTGAGCAGGTCCTGGTACTCTCGGAGCTGGGCTGCCATCTCCCACTTGGTGTTCCTCAGCTCGGCGTCTAGCTGCTGGATGGCCTCCTGGGGAGGAGAGGTCACACACATGTCACATACCAGCCAGCGCCTGGCCCTTAGCACTGGAGAAGCTGGGGCACACCAAGGAAACCCAAAGTCCCATCTAGCCAGGCTCACACCCACACTGCCAAAGCTGTGGGAGCCTCATTTGTGGCCATGGAAACCACCTGGAGCAAAAATCCTGCTGTGTGTGCATTCGATCTCAGCCTGGGGAATGGTTTAGAATAAAACACACCAGCCACCAACAGTGGCTATCACTGGTCAGTGGGATGATGGGTGAAGTTTCACAGATCTCTTAAGCTTAGAAAACGCTCCGCAGGAACAGAGCCCTGTCTGCTTTGGCTCCTGATGCTCCCAAGTGCCTGCCGCACAGTAAGGGCTGAAGAAGCACCTGCAGCTGAGGACTGAAGTCGTACACAGAAGCCCACTAAATAGCAGTGGAAGCTTCTTCCCTGTCCCCAGGCTCACTGAGCCGCTGCTGAAAGCGAACCATTATGGCTGATTTTTATTGCCTCCTTTTTGCTTTCTCCATTTCCTAATTTGTCCACAGTCACCACATATTAACTTGCATAATAAGTTCTTTAAAAGTGTTATCTTCTTTTGCCTGCTGTCTTTAATGGAAGGAACCTGCCAAGGCCTTCCCCAGGCTACCCACGCTCACAGACACTGGTTATGGTTTACCAAATGCCCACTGTAACCCAGACCATGCTGAGCAGGCTCACACTCATCTCATGAAAAGTCTGTCCATCTCTTTAGCCTTCACAACTCTGCAACGTGGACATTCTTCCCCCCCGCCCCCCCCACTGCACTGGAGGAGTTCAGATTCAGAGAGGCAGATAACTTTCCTGGGGCCACTCAGCTAGAAAGACATACTGGTACCCCTTGCATGTCTGACTCCAAGGCCCACAGTCTTCACCACCACAACTTTGCTGAGAGAGGGGCAGTGACTTGTCCAGGATCACCCAACCAGGGAAGGTAGTCTGGCTCTCTGCCCCATCCCTGCCCACCTGGTAGGATGCGATGTCAGCCTGATGACGGTCCTCCAGCTCAGAGCGCTGCCTCTCAAGTGAGTCTTTGGTGCCTTTGAGAGCCTCCAGCTCTGTGGTCCTGGCCTGTAGCTGGCGGCGGTACTCTGTTATCTCCTCCTGTGCTGAGCGCATGGCATCTGTGTTCATCTTGGCTGCCTCTGATAGTCGGTCCAGCCTCACTGGGGGAGAAGGAGACAGGGCACAGAGTTTGACACACCTGGATTTGGATTCTAGTGCCCAGATCCCAAAGGTGACACACATGGGTTGAAGACCTACTGAGTGCCTGGTGCCATCCTGGATTCTTAACATACCCTCTCCTTTGTGATAGGCAAATTACTACTGTCCAAGGCCAGCTAGTAATATACAGCAGATTCAAATCTAGTGTCTATCTGGTTCCAAAAATGAGACTGCCTCCCCCAATTCAGGATCTGAAACCCCACAGGACAGAGGAAGCCCCCAATTCTGGTCCTAATACCTGGTTCAGCTCCCCAGCAAGGGCTGGCAGTGCTGGGGATTCAGACGTAAAACTTGGCCAACAGGGCTTACCTCTGACCTTGTGGCTGATCAAGTTAATGAGCCTGTGACCTCTGGAGGCATGAAGGTGCTGTGAGCCACTGTGTAGCCATAGCCCCTTCCTTGTAGGTTTTGGCTGTGGAGAGCCCAACGTCACTGCAGAGCCTGGGGCCCACGTGCCAGCGTCTCTGTCCCTTCCCCCACCTGGCTGTGCATTCTCTAGCACAGGAGTCCTTGTGTCAATGGCAGCCACACCCTGGCCCCTGTGAGCAATGGGCTGCTGGTTCCCAGAAGATCTTCTAGGACTATTGGAGGTCTGGAGACTAGTCTACATCTCCTGAAAGTGAATATCATGAATCCCAAGATAGTAAAACCCAGGGCCCGAGTCTTGGGAGAGTGAGGAATGGGGAAGGGAAGCCAGCTGGGTGGGCCAGAAGTCCTGGGATGGTTTGTCTGTGTAAAGGACAAAGCCCAAGATAGCAGAGAGGTTTGCTCTGGGAGGAGTCTTGCCGCAGAGATGGGGGAGGAGAAGGGACTGCCACTGCAAAGGAGAGGAAAAGTAATGGGGAAAACCATGCGTCTGAGTCCCAGCTTTCCTGGCTTTCCCTGCTAGTGTTGGCTCAAGACTTAGAAACCATCAAGGTGGGTGAGGATTTTTACCCATGTGGACCACAGACCTGTCTGAAAAATCGCTGGAGCTTCTGCACCCTCTCCCAAGGAAAATGCAAGTTTTACACAGTTTCAGGAAGTATCACGTTGCTCCCCCTGAGTAAGAGACTCAGCTGGTCAACCCCCTCCCCTCTCAAGCCCCAAAGAAATGAAAACCAGAGAAGGCAAGCATTGCCCAAGGTCACCCTGCAGCTGCTGGGTACAGCTTCAGAGCTGCTGCAGCTGCAATCTAGCTGACTCAGAGCAGCACGGAGTTGGAGGAGGGGGGAGCTTGAGAAGCTTCCAGCTTCTCAAGGGGAGAGAGGACATTAAGGGGCCACCTCAGCCTCATGCACCCATTGGTTGGGGTGATGATATCTCCCAGGAAGAAAGGATGTGAGAATGCCCCACTGGGGAGGAGCCTGATAGGGGTCTGGAGAATGAGGTCCCCTGCAGAGTGCAGGCAAGGGGGATGAACAGTGTTGGGCAGGGAAGGCATGTTACTTTGAAGGGCAAAGGGTCCCCAGTGCCTGTAACTAGAAGCTGGCACTGCTTTGGAACTGTAGAAGGAACCTGATGGGAAGGGGCCCTTGGAGTGGGGTTACCTAATCTTGGGCGGGGGCAACAGAGGGGACCCAGAGTCGCAGGACAGATATAAGGACCCTGGAGGAGGACAGCCAAAGGACAACCCAGAATTTCAAGGAAGGGAGAGGGTGTCTCCAGAGACCCGGGGTGAAACTGTTATTTAACGAAGAGGAACGCCCTTTGCAGGGAGAAGCTGAACAGCACACGCTCCAGCCCAGCCACCTGCACACAGAGTGCACCCGGCCCGGCCAGGAGGGGGCGCCCCCTCCCCCACGCGCCTACGAACCTCGGAACCACTCCTCCGACTGCAGTGTGCTCTGCACCGCGTGGCCTTCAAGTTGCGCGCGGATCTCGCGCAGCGCCGACGTCACGTCGCACTTCAGGGCGTCCCGCGCCTCGGCCTGCGCCAGCGCCTGCGCGGCGCCGCTGCCCTGGATCTGGCCGAGCAGCTCACCCACCTCCTCCTGGTGGTGACGCCGCAGGTAGCCGCACTCTTCCTGCAGCGCCTGCGCCTTCTTCTGCAGCTCGACGCGCGCCGCCTCAGCCTCCTGCGCAAAGCGCGCGAGTGCGCGCGCCGCCGCCTCGGCCTCCTCCCGCTGCCGGGCCTCGTCGTCTAGGCGCTGGCGCACGTGTGCGATGTCTTCGAGCAGGTGCTCCTGCTCCAGGCGCAGCTGGCCGCGCGCCGCGCCCAGGCGCAGCACAGCGCCGCGCATCTCGCGCACCTCTCGCTCGTACAGCTCGCCCATGGCGGCGCGGCCAGCGTGCTGCTGCCGCAGGGCCGCCGCCTCGCCTTCCAGGCTGCGGTTGTGAGCCTCGAGCTGCCGCACCTTGTCGATGTAGCCTGCGAAGCGGTCGTTCAGCGCCTGCAGCTGCTCCTTCTCGCTGCGGGCCGCTGCTGCTGCCACCACGCAGCCCTCTGGTCCGTTGCTCAGCGTGTCTAGCGAGTCGGTGCTTGAGGTGGCTGCTGCGCCGCGGAAGCGGCCCGGGGAGGCCGACACGGAGCTCACGGATGTCCGCGCCCAGGAGTGGAAGCCACTGGATGAACCGGCAGCAGAGCGCGCTCCGCCCGCGCCGCCCTTGCGGGCCAGCGCGTAGTGCAGGCTGCCGCCTCCATGTAGCGGCGCGAACGGGGCGCCCAGCAGCGCGTCCGCGCCGCTGAAGCTCATCATGGCCGGAGCAGGTGCGGCCGCCGGCGGAGGGGGATACCCAAGGCCAGGACGGGGCGGGCGGCACTGCGGCAGTACGGGGGATGCCGGCCTTTTTATAGAAGCCCGGTCGGGTCCAGCCCCTTGGCAGTGGCGGGGAGGGGGCAGGGGAGGAGGGCCCCGCCCTCTCTGCCTCCTCCCCCGCTGCCGGGGCCAGGCCGCTCCGCCGCAGTGAGAGGGGCGGGGCAGGGGGACTCAGGAGTGAAGGGGAATCGACGCGGCGTCAGTGGAGCACCCCGAGGTCGGGTGAGGGGGTAGAGGACTCCTGGAGTGGAACGGCGGGGACCCCTGGGTGCGAATCAGAAGACCCTGCTACTGTGTTCGGAAATAGAGAAGGGGCCCGAAATAGGGAGAGGACAAGGAGTCCTGGTGGGAATAGGGGCAGGGTGCCTTTGGGATGGAGCGATGAATGACTCTGTAGTCAGTAGGATGAGGAGGCCCTTGAATGAGAGGGGGGCACAAGATTTTCCTGAAAGTTAGAGAGTACCTCAGGATAGGGGGTGCAGCGTGTCTGGAGCCAGCCCGGAATAGGGGAGGAAGCAAAGTAATCCTAAATGGACTCATGGTGGATGCTACAGAAGGTAGAGATAGAAGACTCCTGAATGAAGTTACTCTTTCCCTAATAGCTAGGAAACCGCCAGGAGGAAATGCAGCCGGCTGCGGAATAGGGGAGGGGGACTTGGAGTTGGGAAGGGCGGCAAGGCTACCCCGAATTGGGGGTATGGAAGACACCTCAGAGGATGGAGAGAGGGAAGCCAGGATGGGAGACACAGTGGTCTCTGCAGTATAGGAGGAGGGAGACCCTGCAGCTGGCCCCAGCAAGGAGGGCCCTCGGTGAAGGAGGCAGAGGGTCCCCTGAATAGGCAGGAGGAATGTGGGCTGTGTGAGGGTCAGAGAACCCAGAGTGGCGGTTCTGTGGGGACTGGGCATGAAGTTGGGGGAGCTAGCGCCTGTGTGGGGTGGGGAGAAGTGACAGGTGTCCTAGGAGTCATTCAGTCCAGGGTCTACACTCTGAGGTCAGCTCCACAGTCACCTGGCCAAATGACCTTGGACAAGATGTGTCCCCACCCCCCTGGTTTTCCCATCTGTACCAAGAGGGGTCTTGCCCTGAGATAGGCTGCAACTAGAGACCCCCAGCAGCTTCTGCTTTGGGGGAGTCTATTGCTGAACTAGGGAAGGGAAGCCCATATACTGCCCATGGACGCGGCAGCCTCTTTCCCACAACTAGGAAGTCCTTCTTTCTCCCTCTTTCCTCCTCATTTCCTCCACTTTGACTTGTCATCCCTCCCCCAACCCCCACAACAGAGAAGTGGGTGCAGTGATAGGCATCCCTTCTAGCCCCCAGTGAAGTGGTGGGATGCTTTCAGGACACCAAAATCCCTTACCACCACAATCCCTAATGGGGGGGTCAGATAGAAAAAGGGGTCCCTGGGATTTGGGGTGCTCTGCAACTGCTGGTGTTATATCACTTTTTCTTGGGCTTTCATTCTCTTGTGAAATGCCTTGGGAGTGGGGGAGGGCTGTGTCTGGTGCTTCAGCACCGAGGACAGGGCCTGCTCCTTCTGGAGAGAAAGGGCTTAATCTCTGCCTTTACCTTGGGAGGGGGAGAGGAGGGAGGTTTGCGTATGTGCTATGCAGAAGGGAACTGAGGAGGGGGCGATGAATGATCCCGTAGAATTACTCTGGGAGCCGGGGACCCAGCCCCTCGACCTTCTGCTGGGGGTCCAGTCCCCTGTTTTCTTTGAAGTTCTCTCACATACACACCTGGGCGGTCCTGCTTCTCCTTTGGGAGTTGAAAGGACCCCCACAATCTTTTTCTGGGAAGGAGCCTTGAGACTCACCTCCCAGATCTGAGACTCCCCTCAGGCAGTTACTCAACTCCACTACACATCCAGTTTATACTGGTTTTCCTTCTGTGGATCCCCAGGATGGGGACAGAGAGATCCCCCCCAGAAAAGACCTCTACCAGTTTGTTTCTCCTTGCCCTCTGCCTCATTCCCAGACCCTGGTTCTAAACAGACCTTCAGAGATGAGGAAGTGATGGTGCTGTCCCTTTAACCACGATTTACTGGAAGGAGAGTGCGCTGGGAGAAGGAAGGAGGGGGAAGGGAGTTTCTGGTTCTGCATGGAGAAGCAGAACATGATGAAGCATTTTCCCCCCCATTTAAAGATCCAGTCATGAGCCAGTTTGCAGGGGGCAGAGGGGCTTGTTTGCAGTCGGTGCTGGGAGGAAGGAGTTGAGTGTCTGGTCTGAGGCTTCTGAGAATGGCATCTAGGAGGGCTTGAGCAGGGCCTCCATGCTCTCATGTGGCTCCCCATTTACTTGTCATTCTGCTTGGCATTTTGCCAGTAGAGCCTTGTTCCTTTGGGTTTTTCAGTCATCTGCATAATGCAGATACATCCTCTGGGTGTAGGATGGCTGATAAGCAGCTGACTGTAAGGGAGAGTGTGAGAGGAGCTCTGTAAAAGAGGGGTGGGGGCCAGGGGGCCAAGATGAATTCTGTCAAGGTCAGGGGGCCACAACCATGGGATCATAGCTCCCTGTGGATTCCAAGCAAGAAATCCCAAGCATGATTTTTGTGGCTGGAAAAATGACATGAGGGTGGGAGCTTTGAATTCATTTTCCCAAAGGGCCCTTCTGACTCACTTCTAGGAAGCCATTTCTGGCCTCCTTTACCTCCACATTTAGTTAATTATCCCCTCAGAGGTCTCTAGTGCTAATCCACTACACTGCACTTAACCACTCTGTGTTGTCATTGGTTGAATGAATGAATGGATGAATAAATTCCATCAGTTCTCCAACCAAACTTGTGGTCTAGAGGAAACTAAAAATGGTTCTGTCCTGAGTCCTTGGGTCTCAAATCACTTTCACCTTTCTCCCCTCAATTCTTCCTATTTGGAAGTAAGTAGAATAACATATTCATTCATTTGTTCATTCATAGAATAACATATTCATTCATTCGTCTATCCATCCATCCATTACATGTTTACTGAGCACCTGCTATGTGAGAGTCACACACAAAACACTGAGGTTACAGAATCCCATAAACTTCTAAAATTGTCCCCCTGGGAGAAGGATTCTTCTTCCCAAATTCTAGTCCAGTATTTCCCAAGGCACCTTCTTGAGGATAATAAGTGTTCCTCCAAAAAAGGAGAGGAAGAGAGGAGTTTCATTGCCAAAGGAGTTAAATAGGGCTCTTGAAGGAACTCTTGGAGCCTGGACTTGGCAATGAACATTGAAAATCCCCCAAAGATGAGTGGAGTGTGCTGTGTTGTCCAAACTTATTTGATCATAGGCCCTTCTTGCCCCCAAGTGTCTCCCATGGTGGCCCACACTGAAGGACCCAGTCAGAATTGGGCTCCAGCCTGTGTTCTCTCTGGGCTGCTATCTGGACTCCTGTGGATCATGTTTGTTTTTCTCATAAGAGGCAAAATCATGAAAAATGAAAGAAGAACATTCATTAAAAAGGATATAATGAAACATGAAATTTGAATAACAGTTTTTTTAAGTAAGCTCTACATGTAATATGGGGCTTGAACTCATAACCCCTAGATCTAAAGTTGCATGGTCTCTTGACTGAGCCAGCCAGGCAACCCTGAATAACAAAATTTTAAAGACTATTGCAAAATACAAAATGTTTGAATACATTTTAACTGTGTGTAGATTCATGGCAATGCTGTTCAAATAACTGACTTTATTTTGTGGATTGTACTTGCACTTGTCTCAAAATCATTTATTCATAGTATTACACATTTTTTTTGGCTTGCTGATTCATCTCATTTAGCATCACATTTTTCCTTTTTTATGCTAAAAATTCTTCCTTCATTAAGACCGGTGTCCATTTCCAAATACTAGGATATATATTTGTAACTGAGTTTTGTATTGCATTGTGAAAGGCCTTCTCTACACCGTTACTTGTTCTTGGCATAATGTCACATGTCGTTGATAGACATTCCAAAGTTCTTTGGGAAATGTGGGTTCAAAATTCTGCACCACTGTATAGACCCTCATAATGACTACTGTTTATATTATATATGAATGGGAGCACTGTGTCAATGGAGAAATGAAACCAAACTGTCAGGCAGTTGATGAGACCTACAAACTATCAAACCAAACTATCAACCAGTTATTTTTTAATCTTTTAAGGGAAAATTGCCTCACAGCCAAATAGTTATGTGGTGAAAACACTTGCAGCAAAGAAGCTTATGGCAAAACTATCTAGAATCTCTGTGGACCCCAAGGTTAGTGCTCTTCAGGAACAGGGCTGCAGTGTGAAGGATAAAGCAGTACACAGCTCTCCTTGAACATCAACCGAACATTGCTGTCACTCACTTCATTCACTCAGCATCTATGGGATTAGACCCTGTGTTGAGCACTGGGGACTCTAAAGAATGAGACTTCAGTGAGGGGAAATCGCCCCCCGCCCCCATGTGTGTACTGCAGAGAGAACTCAGCCACCACTTTCTCCTTGGTACCTCCTCAAACCTTGTTCACTAGACAAGGATGATTGTTGCTATTTTATACATGAATAAACTGAGGAAGTAAAGTGAGGAAGGGGGTTGCCTGAGTTGACCCACTGATAAAGCAGAAATGAGCCCAGTGTCTCAAATCATCCAGGACTAAACTGATATTGGACACACAGGGTGGAAACTCACTTCTCTGGCACAGTGGACACAGATGGCCTGAGGGTGAAGGAGTGAGATGCACCCAGAGAGGGAACAAGTGAGGGTTGGAGTCTGGCCTCCAATGGGTCATCCTTTTTTTTTTTTTTTAATCTTATTTATTTGAGAGAGAGCGCTCGCGCATGAGTGAGGAGAAGGGGCAGTGGGAGAGGGTGAAGCAGACTCCCCACTGAGCAGGGAGCCCCAACACGGGGCTCAATCCCAGGACCCTGAGATCATGACCTGGGCTGAAGGCAGACACCTAACCAACTGAGCCACCAAGGTGCCCGGATGGGTCATGCAACTGAGAGTCCTTGTGACCTGTGACCCAATGTCAGCATATCCTTTATGTAAGGGCTCACTCCCAGCCTTGGCATCCTGCACCACTGTGTCTCCTCTCTGGGGAACAGCATGTGACCACTGTTTAGGGGTGCATTTGATAGCTCTTCATTCTCTTCCTGCTTTATTTTTCTCCATAAAATGTGACCTTTTCTCTCATTAAATATTGTGTGAAAATTGTGACTGATTTAGCATTTTGTTAAAAGTGAAATGACAAATCACATAGAACATTCTGTGTCTTCAGCCTATATATATATATATATATATACACACACATTTATATTTATAAATGTTCTTTATATTTTTACATACATATATATACACACACATATATATTTATACATATATATATATATATATATAGTGGCAAGGGATATAAAGTCCAGCACCAGCTATTATTTAACTAGGGCTACATTTTATAAATGACCCTTTCTTGAAAATAACAATTTATAACATTGAAACTTAAAAAAAAAGAATTGACACTTTTTTTCTTTTTTTAAAAGTGACCTTTTCTAACATGGATAGTTCTTATCTCTCTTATCTTGTCTTCTCTTCTCCCGTGGGTTGTAAGCTTCATAAGGGCCCAGACATTTGTCTGTTTTATTCACTGCTGCTTTCCTCAGCACTTGGAACAATGGCAGGCATATGGTAGGTGCCTAACAAGGAATTGTCCAATGGCTGAGCAGTCTTGCCTGACAGGCAGACCAGTGAGCACCTTGACGTTTCAGCACCAGGCATGTGGACAGCTCCCGGCTGGCTGGGCCCTTGGAGGGAGGCCACAGCAGGACGACTGGAAAAGGCTTAAAAGTGAGCCACGCTAACACCCCCCCTCCCCCAGCCCTCGCGAAAGCTTGGAGCGTCCCGACCCCCGCTGTGTGGTCACTTTTGCTGGGTCTACAGCCCTGTCCACTCCGTTGTCTGCAGACTCCCCTAGTATTCCTTTTCCTTTTTGACTTCAGCAATTATTTGTACATATTTATGAAGATTGCTTCTCAGCCTTTTGGCTAAGATCAAGTGTATCTATCTATGAAGAACTGAGCATTTCTCTTTCTCCTTGTCTCTCTTTCCCTAAATTGTACCCCACATTCTCAGTCTCCCTTTCCCTGTCCTTTCTCCACTTCTTTCCCCTTCCTCTCTCTTTTCCTTCTCCCTGTATCACATCCCTCCTCCTTTCCCCACAATTTCTCTGTCCTCCTTATCTCTCCCCTCCTCCTCCCTCTCCTTAGAGATGTCCTATTTTTTGCAGGGCTTGGTTTATAGTAAAGGGAGGCAACCTCCCTTCCTCTATTCCCTTTATGAAGGAAACAGCAAAAACTTAACTACGTGCAGTTTTGCATAAGTCTCCTCCTCCTAGTGTCCACCCACAGGTTAACCCCCAGGAGACTGGCCCACAGCTGATGAAAGCCTGCAGCAGGCCTGCCTGCCTGCCCACTTGTCTGTGCCCTGGGGTGGCACCAGGTGGGAAGCTGAATTCTGCAGCAAAGGTCATGGGCTGGTGGGTGGATTTACTGATCCACCCTATCACCCCCGCTCCAGTTCCCTTTGTGGGTAATCATGAATGAATGATTTGGGGCTGTGATTCCTGAGAATAG